GCCTTGCACTTGAGTTTGTAGGTTTCCAGCTCGATCTTGAGCACCTTGTTCTCCTGCTGCAGCGAGGCCAGGCGGTTGGTGAGCTCCTCCAGGCGGAACGGCGAGATGACAATGCCCCCCGACTTCCCACCACCGCCGCCTCCCCCGCCGCCGCCGCCGCCTCCGCCGCCCGAGGTCGACGAGCAGGACGACTGCATGGCGGCCGGGCCGCCGCTGTTGCCCCCCGCCCCGTCCGTGTCGCTCTCGCTGGCGCTGTCCGCCATGGCCGCGGCGGGCTGGGGAAGGAGGAGGAGCACGAGCAGGAGCAGGGAGGCGGCGGCGGCGGCGGCGGCGGCGAGGGCTGGGCTGCGAATGAGTGGGCGCCGGGCGAGCACTGGGGAGCGCGGAGCTGGGCGCCTGGCACCAGGGCGCAGACTCGGAGCGGCGGCGAGAGAAAGAGAGGGAGCTTCCCGCTGCCAAGGGACCTCCTCTGCCAGAGAACAGAGACCCCGCCCGGGCTCGGGCAGTATTGCACTGGGGCTCGCTCCAGCCGGGCCTGGCGCGCTCGTTAGGCCGCCCTGCAAAGCTTTCCAAAGCTCAGAGACCCACCCTCCACCGCCTGGCGACTGCCGGCGGGCCGGGGACGCGCGGGCACCCAGGGTGCGGGAGAGCCCGCCGAGCCTGCTGAGCGGCCGCTAGCTCGCGACCGCACGTGCTCCGGGAGGCCCTCCGAGCCCCCCGACTTAAGCCTGCGGGCGCCCAGCCTCTTCCGGGCTCGTGGCCACTCCGGGGAAGAGGAAACCCAATGCCCCACAAGCTCCGCAGGTGCTAGGGACACGTGGAAAGGTCAGCGTGGCTCGGGCATCCAAGCCTGGCCGTGTGGCGGCCCCATCTTCCGCCGACTGTGTTTGTGGGTGTCTCCCTCTATCTGTTTCACACATACATTCAGTTGTGTCTTCTCCGGGAGCAAAATACTTGACTGGGAAGCTTCGGGTAGAGATAAAGAAACAAAGTTCTGCAGTGGGTCCGAGTGGGCTGAAACAGCTGCAGCCACAGGTTAGCATTGTTAAGGAAGAATTTGCAGAAAGGACTTTCGGCTGTCTAATAAACTCATAAAGCTCCCTGTGCTCCATTGTTTACATAATGTGCAACTTTTTTTTCTTTTTCCTCTTTGCATCCTGCATACATTTCCAGCACACGTCATGCAATAGGATTAAGACACATTTGTCTAGTCAAAGACAGAAAAGAAATATTTTGTGGAAGAGTTGAAACACATAGCAAATGCCAATTTTCCAAAGTAACTGCAGACATAGTATTATGCTATGCAAATAGTCTTAAGTGGGACTTTGCTATCATCTGGCTCACTTGTAGAAAACTCCAGTGGGTAAAATAAAACATTAATTACTCTAAGGTTATATAATTCTGAGCCCCAGCTTTGAGGAGTAAGATAATCAAATACTTGCCTTACTCCCCAAGAAAGAATTGCAGGAAATAGGCCCAGCAGGTGAGGTGGCTCTAAACACTTTATCCTGTTGACACAAAACAGCTTTCACTTATGTATGAAAATTGGAACGTGAAACTGACCAGACTAGTTTTATTATCCAAGTTTAATCAACGGAAGAATAAACACATGGAAGCAGAAAATGGGGGGGGGTCAATTGTTTTGAACTGTTGCACAGATTTATAAAGTGTTATCAAGAATGAAGAGATGGCTTTCATGATTTTTATTCCTACTCCTTCATTATCTGTAAACCTAAATCTGATGTAGTGACTAAACTGTTGCTCAGTGCCTCATAGAAACTGGTATCTCAAAATAAACTCCAAGTGTTCCAAATGCCATCGTCTTTTACCAAGATGGCTGCTCCTAGCAAACAGTTTAGAAATGCTAACTACACTTAATCTCCAAATTTCTCGTAGGTCTTTTTAGTGTAGTGCTAGAGGACTTTTGAACTCAGTCACTGTTGGTGTTAACAGAGCAAACAATAAAATAAAATAAAATAAAATAAAACAAAAACCAAAGAGCACTTGAGATATATATCTATATATTATTATTGAGATATATATATCACTAATCTAATAATTGTTAAAAGTGATCCAGTTTAATTTTCAGTGAAACTTCTTTCTTTCCTCACGTTTCCTTTTCAGATCTGTTACATGAGACAATCAGCTCCTTGAGTTTGAAACAGGTTCTGGAAAACTCCCTTGCTGGGTGAAATGGAAGAGTCAAGCTAGCAGAAGAGCACCACAGGAGGAAAATCAGATTTAACAGCATTCTTTTCACTTTACTCAGCGCGGTTATAGAGTGGGCCTGACTTCCATACTTCACAAATTCTATTGTTCCCTTCCCTTAGTATTTCAAGGCTTCCGCTTTTTGGGTTTATTACAGCAAGAACTTTCTTTAGAGGCAGAGCAGAGAGTGAATTAGCTTTCTTGGCTTTATCCAACTAAACTAACTGCTATAGAAAGCAGCCCGAACGCGGCGAATCAGCAGAGGGGGTGGAGTTTGAAGCGTCTGGCTTTCTTAAAGGGCCCAGGTCATGGTAAGCTTAAGAATGTATTGGTCTTCAATAGGATTTGGAGGAAATCTGCATTTTGACATGGTACTTGTAGGCAATAATCGTGTTTGGAAGACTTTAGAGGGAAAGTCATCTTCTAAAGCTTCCCTGCTGATACAGATGGAAATAAGTTGGAGGATTTTTTTTCCACCATAGTTTTTATTGTTATTGCAAAGCAGAAGCGTGTCTAATTTTCTACTTCTTCTAAAAGTGATTTCCTTGATAAACAGACCATTTATCACAACACTGGTTCAGTAATAGCATTACAATGGAAACACCAGTAATAAAACCAATAATATCATTATAAAACTCCTCAGCTTTCATGGGAAATGAATCAGAAAAACAGTAGTGTGTGCTGCCTGGAGGAAGAAGGGACAAATTTAGATAATCACCTCCATTGGAAGAATAATGAAATTTAGCTTTGCCCTAAATTTAAACGCCCCAATTTTTTAATTTTAAATTGTCTATTGGTACAATTTAGATATACATAAAGATCATATTCATCAGAGGGAATTTGTACCTATAAAGCCCTGAAATTTTATGAACAAAGAAAAAGATACCTTGTGGTATAATTGCAAGGCATGGCATCAAAATCCTTATTTTTTTCTGATGCCATGATTTACTCTGTATCTTGAAATTTTAGTGTTATTAATAATAAAAGTATAAGTCAGAGAATGTTAAATTTTTAATGCCTAGAAATAAATTGCTACTTAAACTAGTTAAGATAAGAATCTAGTGATTTTATTTCAATTCGAGATGGATTTAGTGGTTTCAGACTCCACTATTATATTTTTTTTTTCTTTCTTTCTTTTTTTTTTTTTTTTTTTTTTTTTTTTTTGTCTTTTTCCTTTTTATCAGTACCAGGGATTGAACTCATGATTGTCTGCTTGCAAGGCAGGCGCTTATGCCGCTGAGCTAAATCCCCAGCCCCCACTATTATATTTTTTAAAAGAAAGCATTGCACACACACACACAAAAAAGAATTGGAGGCATCTTGAGAATGAACTGGCTATCACAATGTCATTCTATGTGTGGAAATATAGAATATACCACTGTGGTGATGTCATTTCTTGAAAGGTAGTTAATAGTGTTTATGGACCTTTGACTTAGAACCTGGTTCCAGGGCCCAGGGCCCAGATTTCTCAACATTGGTAATATCAGCACTTGGGACTAGATAAATTTTTGTTGTGGGGAATGGACCTGCAACATCCCTAGCCTCTACCCACTAGATGCCAGTTGTACTTAACCAAAAATCTAAATGTCTCCTGAAGGACAAAAACGCCCCCAATGAGAACTACTGATTTTGCAGGACAATTATTTTGCAGGCCAAAAGCAATCCCATTTGGGGCTGACATTTTTGGCAACACATTGATTACAAACCACTGAGTTTGAAGAAAATTTCCCTCTCATTTCATATTCCCAGTGGCGCTAGCCAAGAGATCATGGACCCAACTCCTGTTCTTACCGTTGTTGTCTTTAATTTCTTTAACATGCTTTTACAATATATGGCACATGTTAATATTAAAGCAACCATGGAAGTAAAACATCCTACTCTGGTCAGGAATCATGACTATAAGATTAACTGCATGACTCTATCACTCATCATGGATTCTTAGGAGTCAAAATCATTTTTACACATGGCAGTCTAAGGAATTAAGTGCTTGGCTAAAGTAAATCCGATAAGGATCAAGTAAGAATTTCAGCAAAAAAAGAAAGAAAGAAAAAGAAAGATCTGACCTATGTATCTGGAGATTTGACAATCCTATATATAAGATCTAAATATTTTCCTGATTCAGACCATCTAGAATTGCTAACCAAAAAATGATATTTAAACCCTAATTACTAAACAGAAAGAATCAAAAGGCAATAAAAGAAGGCCGGGGATTTAGCCCAGCAGGCATAAGGGCCTGCCTGGCAAGCATGAGGTCACGAGTTCAATCCCTGGTACCAAAAAAAAAAAAAGAAGAAAAAAAAAAAAAAAAGAAAGTAAAGAAAAATCTGGGCTCTAACAGCAAAGAAGAAAATGAAGCACGCAGATAAGCACCAATCTTGTACATTGTGTTATACTTATGCAATAGATTAGTAGATAGAAATGACAATGAACAAGCTTCAACTGCATGAAGGCATGTGATAAATGAACCTTATAAACATAGTGATAAAGGAAACCAGACACAAAAATATTCTTTGTCTTATGGCTTCTATCTAGATGTCCTGCCAAAGCCTCCTGCACTCAGGTGAGACTTTTCAGAAGTGGCTGGATCTAGGGTATATGAATATGGATTAAGGGTGTGTGGCATCTGGATTAGTCCCTTAATTGGATTAGCACAGTTTCTGGCTTGGCTGAATGGATTTGCTGAGGAAGGAAGCTCAATCCTGAATGAGGGTGGCATCAATCCATAGGTTTGTAGCCTGGATGGAACAGACAGAGAGAGTGAAGGCAAGCTCACTGCTTCCGGCCTGTCATGCCCCTCAGCCATGCCACCCTGCTTAGGAGCCAGCTGATTATGGACCGAAGCCTCTACAAACTGTGAGCCAAAATAAACCTTTTCTCCTTCAATTTGTGGGTGTTGGGTACTTTGGTCCCAGCAATGAGGAAGTAACCAAGTTTATTTAGTTTTCTGCAGTAAAAGATAATTCACATTAATATGCCTATGAAATGAGATGATGGTAGGATTTTCACTTGAACAGGATGACTCTAGGCAGAAGTTTGAAAATTTACATATAATTCAAAATTAGGCAAAATTACACTGTTAGGAATCAGAAATAATGATTCTCCTTAAGAGAGTGTGGTGTTCTCTATCTGAGTACATACTAACATAGGTATATTCACTCATGAAAAGCTGTTGAGTTATATGTGAACTTAGGGTTGATGTAGTTTTCTCTACGTATATTGTACTTCAGTATAATTCATGAGTCAAAACAGGAGAGAGAGGTGGAACTAAAAGGCAGTTGAATCTGGAGCAGCAGCATTTTAGGACATGAACTTTGTTTTAATGTCCATCAGGGGCAGGACTTGAGGCCTCGGGATCATACATGGTCAGAAGGTATAACTAAAGAATCCACAAGGTACCAGAAGTATTTTTTTTTTTTAAAAGTTGCACTCATATTGAACAGCTGAACTAGAAAGAAAAATTCGTGTCTTCCTACCTGCCAATAAGTACATAACAGGAGGCTTGTGTGCCTTAGACTGGATTCAGAGTTTCATTTGTTTATTTAATAGTCTATTTGGAAAAGTTATGGTCTAGAATCAAACTTCATCAAGTTAGAAGGTTTACATAAGTGCCTTAAACACCTACATGGTCCAGAAATCTCCAGGATGAAAATTGTCCTGGATGGGGACTCTTCGGCTTACAGAAATGTTCCATACATTGGTTACACAAGTGTGTGCAATTATCAAATCTCATTGAATGTATTTATAAAGGGTGAATTGTATTCTATGTAAAGTATAATTGAAAAAATAAACTGATTTAAAAATAGTTGGTATTGGAATGGTAATATTCTCTACCACCTAACAAAAACAAGAACAATTCATTCTGGAAGGATATTCATTCTGGATAAAGACAAGATTACAACTGAAGATTATAAGATACAAAAAGAAATCCATTTTAGGCAAAAGTTAGCAAACAGTAAATAGAAGAATGGTATTCTTGAAATTTTAATTCTTATGAGAGTTGGATATAGTGGCTTGGGTAAAAATAAGTATGTTTAAAATAGAGCTATGAAACAAGGAATTAAAAGTATAGGGAAGATAAACACAATCAGATCTGAAAACAGAACAGTTAGAATTAGAAATGAGAAAATATAATATCTAAAAATTAAAAATAGTTTGCTAAAAACCATTACACAATGATCAGAACTACACCTGTAGTTAAAAAAAAAGTTTATTCAGTTTCCTGCAGTAAAAGATAATACACAGTAATATACCTATGAGATGAGATGATTGTAGGATTTTCACTTGAACAAGATGACTTTAGGCAGAAGTTTGAAAAGCAGAGGTCAGTTGTGGATCAGATCTTAACCAGAAATGGAAAAAAATCTGGTGATTGAATATAGCTATAAATTTTATCTAAGAAGCAAGAGTTTAGAATTATCATTGCAAAAAGTTACCACTAATGAAATATTTATTCATATTGGTCAAAAATGGTAAGTTTTGTCATTTTTATGATGGCAGATTAGCCTGTATTGTTTGACCACCAACATGATGTGGACTCACCTTGATAACTACTTTTATTCTTTTAGTATTGGCTTTGTCTTATTATATGCGTGGTTGAGACAAAAATACCTGCCACCCAAAGTTAAAGGAGGAAAGATTATTTCAGCTCCCTGTTTGTAGAGGTTTCAGTTCGTAGTCGCCTGGCTCCAAAGCAGGTTGGGTTATCTACAGTCAGGACTATAATCAACCAATTAGTGGGCTAATCAAGTACTACGCACTTTTAATCCTAGTATCACAACCTTAATTGACATTCACACACCCTAGATTTAGCCACCTGCAAAAAGCCACACCTGTGACCACATGAAGCCTTAGGGAGACATCAAGATGAAAACTATAGCATCTTCTTTCAGTCAGGAATATAATGACTCAGCTGGCATCTGCTATTTAAACAATTTTTTTTATTTTATTAAGTGGCAAAATTTGAAACCCTTACAGTTATCACAATGAACACTACTAGCAAGTACATTATAATACATATACATAGGCTCTGCACCCTGTGATTGTAGAATCAACACTCTTTTCAGGCACAAAAACACCAAAATTGAGAATTAAGTGAGCCAACAAAGAACATTTCATACACTGACATGGGCAAAATGCTTTAGTATATGTTATATGTTAATTAGTTTAATTCTCACAACCACCTTGTTTGGGTGGGTACTATAATTACTATTACCATTCTTCCCACTAGAAGATGAGATCATTCAGGCTAGTATAAATTAAGAAAATTATTCAAATTCATCACTGGTAAACTGGAAGATGAGAGTCCAAATAACAGTTCCTGACTTCTCCACATTTCTGGAATCTGCATTGTAGTTTTGGCTCCACTCTCACAGCTTTATCCAGTGCTCTCTCAGGGGCACACTATCTGGTTTCCTAGGCTTTCTTATGGAATCTGGTGGAAGCCTTCCTGTCCACACTCTTACATTCTTCATGCTTGTAAAAGCAGGACTCTGTGGCTGACAGCAAGTTCTGCCACCAGCTACAGCAATAGCCAGGATCCCTTGAACTGGGGCTGCAGAGACTTCTGAGTGGCTGGATGACTGAGTACCATGAACTGAATCCAAATGACCAAATTCCCTGGGGGGCCATTCTTGAGAAGCTTGTCCTTGGAATTTTTTTCTCAAAGCATTGTTTCACTGGCCACTTTAAGCCTGCAAGAGTGAGAGGCCTTTCTACTTCCTCACATGCCCTTAAGCCATTTTGTCTATTTTCCTGCTGTGAGGTACTTTAGCTTCTTTTTAATACTAATATTTTTTACAAGTAAACTTTCTTCCACTATGTCTTTACAGATTTGAATTTTATCTGAGCTTCCTTTCTTTCCAAACTCAAAACTTTTCACATCATTCTACTATGCCATTTGTTCTTGACTATCAATATAGATCTGACCAAAATTTGCTAATAATACTCATTCACTGCCTCAATAATGGGATGTTTCAAAATTTCCTCTGCCAGATTAGTCTACCTTCTTTAATCTCATTCTTCCACAAAGCCTCAGGACATAAGCAAAATGCAGAAAAACATTCTGTAAGAGACCAACACATATGATCCAAAATCCAACAGAAATCTCTTGAACTTGGTTTTTTCTGGCTGCATTACTGTCAGAATTCCAGTCTTCTGAGCTCTGACGTAAGCCTCCCCTTGCATTTGTCTCATGGTATTCTGGCCTTATCCATCCAGCATCCCTAAGCCTTTCCAAACTCTGGCAAGCCAGTTTCAAAGGCTAATAAACCACATGATCAGATAGTATCACAACAATGACTCCCCCTCTCTCACTTCTGAGAAAGAGAGAGAGAGAGAGAGCCAAAAATGTATACATTGGTAAAAGAAAAACTTGTATAAATATTTTAATGCTAAATTTTTGAGACATCATGAAATCAACTTATTACCTTTGGTCTCTACAGTTAGGAGAACATTGTATATATTGAATCTGATTCCTCTGTAAGATTCTGCTCACCACTCATATCACTCAAGTCTTCTATCAAAATCTTATTTATCCTTTGCTAGTGAAATAAGAATGTAATTCTTAGATGAACTGAAACCATGTATAGTAATATATACCCTTAGCTCTGGGGTATGTATTCCCAGTGGATGTCTGCAACCTTGAACAGCGCTGGACCCAAAATGTATTTTTTCTTATACAAAACACATATTTCATAAAGTTTACTTTATAAATTACTAAAATCAAGAGATAAAAAATTAACAACAGTAAGCAATAGAATAGAAAAATATACTGTAGTAAAATTTAATGCTTGTAAGTTGTTTACTTCTGAAATTTAACATTTAGTATTTTCAGCTGTGGTTGATTTGGGGTAACTGAATCCAAAGAAAGCAAAAATCACCGCTAACAGGTGGCTTCATGGGTAATGGACTACTGAAACCCTTGTTATCCCTTATTTTACTCTGCTTTATAAATATAATCTTTACATGTCTACTTTCCTGACATATTGATTATAAAATTTAATTCATTTTATAAGCATGAATAAATAATGGTTAGTGTGTGTGTGTGACACAGGAGATTGTATTCAGGGTATCCTATATACTAGGCAAACACTTTACCACTGAGCAAGATTCCTGCCTTGATGATTAATTTTAATATGTCACCTTGACTGAGACACGGAGTGCCCAGGTACTGGTTAAACATTACCTGAATATTTCTGTTAGGATACTTTGAGGAATGTAACATTTAAATTAGTAGAGAGAATATAAAACAAATTGTGTTCCCTAATGTGAAGGGGCCTCAGCTTTCATCTAATGCCTAAGTAAAACAAAAATTAAAATGAGTCAGAGGGAAGTCTTCCTACCTGACTGCTTACAGTGGCATCTAGCTTCCTGTTTTGAACCAAACATCACTTTTCCTCCAGTTTCAGACTGCTAGTATTTGGAATAACCAAAAGGATAGTATCAGTTTTTCTGATCTGTTTCTGTCTCTATCTCTCTCTGTACCTTCAGTTCATCTCAATTCTATTTATTCTGTTTTTCTGAAGAACTCTAATACAATAAATGACATCTTATAAGGCCTTAGACTAGGAGTTGGATTCCCCACCTGTCTAGGTTAAAGGAGTAGATAGGTTAAATTCAATGTTATAAGTGCTTTCACTGAGTTACATAGTTGGAGAATATTTTGAGACCACAGAAGGAGTCTAATTAGCTAAGAGTTGAGAGGGCTTCACCTAAGGGTTGGCATGAACACCACTGTGAAAAGTAGCACCAGACAGAAAACTGATGAAAATGAACTAATTCAGTACATAATATTAAGTGAAAAACATCAGATACAAAAGAGCGCAAATGAATGCAGGTGCTTTAGTTATCTTTGA